GTGTTACTATTATAAGTATATATATCAGCAAAAAAAAAAACGTCCCTTTTTCAGGACCCCAAAGATAATTTGTAAAAATCAAAAGAACTTCACAGATCTTCATGGTAAAGGGTTTAAACACTGTTTCAGATGCTTGTTCAATTAACCATAAACAATTAATGAACATGCACCTATTGAACGGTCGTTAAGACACTAACAGCTTACAGACGGTAGGCAATGAAGGTCACAGTTATGAAAACTTCGGACACTAAAGAGGCCTTTCTACTGACTCTGAAAAATACCAAAAGAAAGATGCCCAGGGTCCCTGCTCATCTGCGTGAGGCATGAGGACTGCAGATGTGGCCAGGGCAATAAATTGCAATGTCCGTACTGTGAAACACTTTAGACAGTGCTACAGAGAGACAGGACGGACAGCTGATCGTCCTCGCAGTGGCAGACCACGTGTAACAACACCTGCACAGGATCGGTACATCCGAACATCACACCTGTGGGACAGGTACAGGATGGCAACAACTGCCCGAGTTACACCAGGAACGCACATTCCCTCCACTTTTTTTTTTTTTTTTTTTACATTTTAGTCATTTAGCAGACACTCTTATCCAGAGCGACATACAGGAGCAATTAGGGTTAAGTGCCTTGCTCAAGGGCACATCGACAGATTTTTCACCTAGTTGGCTCGGGGATTAGAACCAGCGACCTTTCGGTTACTGGCACAACGCTCTTAACCACTAAGCTACCTGCCGCCATCAGTGCTCAGACTGTCCGCAATAGGCTGAGAGAGGCTGGACTGAGGGCTTGTAGGCCTGTTGTAAGGCAGGTCCTCACCAGACATCACTGGCAACAACGTCGCCTATGGGCACAAACCCACCGTCGCTGGACCAGACAGGACTGGCAAAAAGTGCTCTTCATTGACGAGTCGCGGTTTTGTCTCACCAGGGGTGATGGTCGGATTCGCGTTTATCGTCGAAGGAATGAGCGTTACACCGAGGCCTGTACTCTGGAGCAGGATCGAGGTGGAGGGTCCGTCATGGTTTGGGGCGGTGTGTCACAGCATCATCAGACTGAGCTTGTCATTGCAGGCAACCTCAACGCTGTGCGTTACAGGGAAGACATCCTCCTCCCTCATGTGGTACCCTTCCTGCAGGCTCATCCTGACATGACCCTCCAGCATGACAATGCCACCAGCCATACTGCTCGTTCTGTGCGTGATTTCCTGCAAGACAGGAATGTCAGTGTTCTGCCATGGCCAGCGAGGAGCCCAGATCTCTATCCCATTGAGCACGTCTGGGACCTGTTGGTTCGGAGGGCTAGGGCCATTCCCCCCAGAAATGTCTGGGAATTTACAGGTGCCTTGGTGGAAGAGTGGGGTAACATCTCACAGCAAGAACTGGCAAATCTGGTACAGTCCATGAGGAGGAGATGCACTGCATTACTTAATGCAGCTGGTGGCCACACCAGATACTGACTGTTGAATTCGACCCCCCCCCCCCTTTGTTCAGGGGCAAATTATTCCATGTCTGTGGATGTTGTTCAGTTTGTCTCAGTTGTTGAACCTTGTTGTGTAAATATTTGTATGAACATATGTTAAGTTTTCTGAAAATAAACGCAGTTGACAGTGAGAGGACGTTTTATATTCTGCATTGTTGGGAAAGGCCCGTAAGTAAACATTTCACTGTTAGTCTACACCTGTTTATGAAGCATGTGACAAATTTTTTTATTTGAAATGTTATTAGCCTAGGTGTCAGCATAGCCTACGTAGATGTTGTCTTGGCTGCTCATCTATCCTATCCCAAAAACTGTGGGTTGGATGTAGCCTACTATTTACTTAGACAGTTCAGGCAAATTGTGGCAGTGTTGTTTTTATCGGTGCTCTGTTTCTCTGCTTGTGAGGGTGTGAACCACTCCTTATGAATGGGTGAGACTGACTAAGAACATGCTGCAGCAACTGAAGATAGCAGATGGACCACAGAGCTAATGTGTGATTAGCATGATAGCGGCACGCTGTACTCAAGCTCTCCTGGCACACATTACCTCAGTTGGTCTCTGCCAGGGGTAGATAGATGAGATCGAGGCTTCGGCATGGGGTGAATTGGTTATCACTGTACCAACTTTACAGAGGAAGATAAAATGCAGTTTGTGAAAACTTCTAGTGTATACATACACACTAGGGAGGGGCACAGTTATTCGCGTATCCGAACGGACGTTAGCATTTGAATACTTGAATACTTGCAAGAGTAAAAAAAAAAGAAGCCTATTTTATCAATGGAAAAGGCTTTGTCTAAATATAATTGACATCGCTACACAGAAGGATATTTCATGACATTTGAAATTCTTAATTCAATAAAACAAAACTTAGAATGTAGTGTTCATGACTTGTGCCCGGTAAAGACATACCGTAGCCTACACGGGTTTCACAGGTTTGTTATTGTCGGCCAATCAAGGTGGCACTAGTCAGTGGCTCCATGTGTAGCAAGTGAAGTGGGAGATCTCTAATCAAAGCAAAATGGAATAAAAATTACGGAATTAAGTTAGCTAAATGAGGAGTCTGCTACAACGAGCAACCATCAGGTAGGCTGTTTAATCTGAATGGATTTGTTGTAGATAAGGACGGGAAGCGCAGCAAAATACAGTAGCCTCAATTAGCCAGCTAGCTAGCTACCTAGGCTATCTTAGCTAGTTTCTTTACATCGATTTGAATCATTAGACGGGCACTACCAGATCGGATAATAAATAACCTATGACATCTACGTGTTTGTCAAACTAGCGAGAGTCTGTATGGTCGCTCTCTCGCTCGTCAAACACACTGACCTCTGCCCATCCCCCGCAATGCTGCAAGCAGAGTGGCACCTCTCCCAAGTTTAATCAAAAGTTTATTTTTTTTATTTTGACTGTCTGAAAAAAATGCTTGATATTCGAATAGTGAAATTATTTAAAATGCTAACAAGATTTGGCTGCCATGTGGCCTTGCCCTCAGTAGATTGTAGTAGGCTATTTGTAGAGAGATTTTATCCCAAGCGCTGATGAGTGCTTAGTTGGACAGGACTGCATTGTTGACAGTCTCCTGCGGCTCAGCTCCTCATAGGGAGGCCATACATCAGTCAGCCTGGCCTGAGAGGTGCTAAGGAGAGACATGCAGACAGTCCTCTCCTCCTTGTGATAATTTAGGAGGTGGGCTCAGTCAGGACCGTAGCTATATTAAGCACAGGCCCACTAACGGTATAAAGTAAAATGGGACTGATTTTGACAGGTGACACTCAGTCTATGGGTTTGTTTCTTCATCTCGTGTACAGTACCAGTCAAAAGTTTTAGGGCACCTACTCATTCAATGGTTTGTTTTTTTTTATTACTATTTTCTACATTGTATGAAATAACACATGGAATCATGTAGTAACCAAAAAAGGTGTTAAACAAATCAAAATATATTTTATATTTGAGATTCTTGGAATAGCCACCCTTTGCCTTGATGACAGCTTTGCAAACTCTTGGCATTCTCTCAACCAGCTTCATGTGGTAGTCACCTGGAATTCATTTCAATTAACAGGTGTGCCTTCTTAAAAGTTAATTTGAGGAATATCTTTCCTTCTTAATGTGTTTGAGCCAATCAGTTGTTGTGGTAAGGTAGGGGTGCTATACAGAAGACAGCCCTATTTGGTAATTTTGTCTTTTTATGGCAAGAAAAACTCAAATAAGCAAAGAGAAACGACAGTCCATTACTTTAAGACATGAAGGTCAGTCTATCCGGAACATTTCAAATACTTTTAAAGTTTCTTCAAGTGCAGTCGCAGGAAAGGAAGACCCAGAGTTACCTCTGCTGCAGAGGATACTGTAAGTTCATTAGAGTTACCAGCCTCAGAAATTGCAGCCGAAATAAATACTTCAGAGTTCAAGTAACAGACACATCTCAACTTCAACTGTTCAGAGGAGACTGCGCGAATCAGGCCTTCATGGTCGAATTGCTGCAAAGAAACCACTACTAAAGGACCAATAAGCAGAAGGGACTTGCTTGGGCCAAGAAACACGAGCAATGGACATTAAACCGGTGGAAATCTGTCCTTTGGTCTGATGAGTCCAAATTTGAGATTTTTGGTTCCAACCACCATGTCTTTGTGAGACGCAGAGTAGGTGAACGGATCTCCGCATGTGTGGTTCCCACCGTGAAGCATGGAGGAGGAGGTGTTATGGTGTGGGGTTGCTTTGCTGGTGACACTGTCTGTGATTCATTTAAAATTTAAGGCACACTTAACCAGCATGGCTACCACAACATTCTGCAGCGATACACCATCCTGTCTGGTTTGGGCTTAGTGGGACTATCATTTGTTTTTCAACAGGACAATGACCCAACACACCTCCAGGCTGTGTAAGGGCTATTTTACCAAGAAGGAGCGTGATGGAGTGCTGCATCAGATGACCTGGCCTCAACAATCCCCCGACCTCAACCCAATTGAGATGGTTTGGGATGAGTCAGACCGCAGAGTGAAGGAAAAGCAGCCAACAAGTGATCAGCATATGTGGGAACTCCTTCAAGACTGTTGGAAAAGCATTCCAGGTGAAGCTGGTTGAGAGAATGCCAAGAGTGTGCAAAGCTGTCAAGGCAAAGGGTGGCTACTTTTGAAGAATCTAAAATATATTTTGATTTGTTTAACACTTTTTTTTTTTTTTTTTTTACTACATGATTCCATATGTGTTATTTCATGGTTTTGATGTCTACTATTATTCTACAATGTAGAAAATAGTAAAAAATTAAAAACCCTTGAATGAGTAGGTGTGTCCAAACTCTTGACTGGTACTGTATGTTTCTACAGGCCTACTTGTTGAGTAATCATTACATTTTACGGGTGGCTAAGCAGTGTGTTAAGCTCTTCTCTACTCCGAGCTAATCGACCACCGAAGCGCTGCATCACTGTGTGTTTGGCCTTGTGGTCTTAATTGCTCACTGCCCAGCGTTTTCCTGCTTCTCTTTACGGTTCTGATCATAATTTGACTCTTTTCTCTCTCTCCAGGAAACCGAGATCGCTGCTGACTGCAACCATGTAAGTGTTCTGAACTCCGTCCCGCACGTCATTAAACCATCCTGTCATTTTGTGTTACTGAATGTGAATAATGATTTAATACAGCGTTGTTAGCCCCCTCTTGTGGCGTGACCTGCTATCACACCCCTGCTTGAATTTCCCGCTCACAGTGGGCCTGTACTCTGTTTTCTCTGAACTGTCAATAGACTTTAATGTCTTCTTCCTCCAGCTCCTGTGGAACTACAAGTTGAACCTGACGACTGACCCCAAGTTTGAGTCTGTGGCTGTGGAGGTGTGCAAGGCCACCATCACCGACGTAAGTTGGCTAGCTACTTTTACATATGTACAAGTGTGTATTATACGCATGCGTGAAATGGAAATTGACTTTTTGCATATCCCAACTCCCCCCTGGTCATAGCCAGGATCAGCCATTATCAACGGCGACCCTGGAGCAATTAGGGTTAAGTGCCTTGCTCAAGTGCACATTGACAGATTATTTACCTTGTCGGCTCGGGGATTCGCACTAGCGACCTTTCGGTTACCTGCTGCCACCGTTAGGTCCTGTCCTCATGCTACTACTGTCACGGTCCCTGGCACCTAGCAACACCTAGTAGCAACACAACATTTTTAAGTAGGCCTAACACTTGTGCACTTAGCTGGAAAAGCTTCAATTACAGAAAAAAGGGGCCTGCTTTCCATTTCTTTAATCATGGATTGGTTTTGGATTAATCCCTATGTGCACAGGCCTTTGATGCCCAAACAAACTAAGTGTCTAAGAAAGAGTTTGTGACATTGACATACGCCAACCGTAATGTTTCTCTCCTCCTTCCTTCAGATAAAAGAATGTGCGGCGGAGGAGAGAGGGAAGGGCTACCTGGTTTCCTGCCTGGTGGATCACCGCGGCAACATCACGGAGTACCAGTGCAACCAGTACATCACCAAGATGACCAGCATCGTGTTCAGCGACTACCGCCTCATCTGTGGCTTCATGGACAAGTGTCGCGAGGACATCAACAGCCTGCACTGTGGCAGCATATCCACCGGCGAGAAGGTGACTGCTCTAGTAGCCTTCTCTCACCTGTCTGTTATTGCTCTATAATATTTCAGAGTATATGCTATTTGGTAGGCGTTTTACATACAGGTGGTCCCGGGAATCGAACCCACTATATCCTGGCCATGCTCTACCAACTGAGTTAGAGGACCACAGCTATAGGCATATCACTAGCCTTCTCTAACTGTTAAACACGCCTGTCTCTTCTTACTATGTGTACTCATTTCACTGGCCAATCAGCCTTTGTGGGAAGAGTAGCCTACACATCTGTAAAGATTGAACATACTTTTTCAATCAGAAATTGGTCATGAGGGCTTTATATAGCTGCTCCAGCATTATATTTGTATGAAGCTGTCTCTGTGCTGTATGTAGAGGTAACAAAAAAAACTGACAAGCGCAGGATCTGCCCATTTTTGTTTGTGCTGATTTCTAATTTGCTAGGTTGGTTCTCATTTTTATTTGACACCTTGTGTTCCACCATGTCTTATGACTACATGAGGTTTCCTGTTTTGGGCATAATGTAGTTAGGCTTGACTTAATGCCTCTGTACTGCTCTGAGCTCCAGTGTTGTTTTCCTGGCTATGAGTCCTCCTGAGTATTTGCTCTTACTACAGTCACTAACTTAGCTACTTCAGTCATGATTTATGACAAATTTAGCTTCCACGCTCTCAACTCCCAGTGTTTAACATTAATTATTAATATCTACAGGATTATTAATGTCCATGCCTTCAGGAATCAAATGCCAGTTGTCAGGGCAACACAACAGCAAAAACACTGAATGAATAATTTCTTTGTTGTCCTTTTTTAAATATTTAACATCTCTGTATTTACTAATGTATTTCCTCCCCTCTGGCTGTTTTGTATGTTTTTGTGGTTGTGTGTTCTATTCAATTGCTAAAAGAAATCCTTTGAAATAAAATATTTGATTAAAAACAACGGATCCAAAGCGCAACTCTGGGAGCTAACACTTCTCCAGGCCCCACACAGAGATGCGTGAGTACACAAAGGCTCATCGGTGCTGTAGCCAACTTGAACCTATCCATCTCACTGTCCCCACGCCACCCTTTCTGTCCCTCAGGACGTGCACTCCCAGGGTGAGGTGATAGCGTGCCTGGAGAAGGGTCTGGTCAGGGAGGCAGAGGAGCAGCCCGGGGCCCATGCCATCGGGCCCGACTGTAAGAAGGCCATCATGCGTGTGGCCGAACTCTCCTCAGACGACTTCCACCTGGACAGATACCTCTACTTTTCCTGCCGGGAGGACCGTGAGCGCTTCTGTGAAAATGTGAGTACCTCCTGCCCTTCCCTCTCAGCTCTTTCATTTCATTAGAGGCTTCATATTGAGATGCAGGGTCAGATGCATTCAGACTTTTATTCATCATTGAATCACAATTCTATTGTCTTTAATTTCTAGACTCCAGCTGGAGAGGGCAGAGTCTACAAGTGTCTCTTCAACCACAAGTTTGAGGAGGCCATGTCTGAAAAGGTATGTGTTCTGCTGTTCAGCCTGGTTGGAACGGAGTCATTGCCAAAATAATCATATCCATCTTCTGCTACTTGTTAGTTGTCCATATGAATAATGCTGTGATTGCAAAGCATTTTGTCAGCATGGTTGTCTAAAATATAGAGAACACACTTGAATGGGAATATCTGTTCTGTTAATTCAATTTCAATTCTGGCTATTAGTCAGTGAGTCAGATGGTGATTGTGACCAGAGCTGTGTTGTGGTTGTCCTCCACAGTGCAGAGAGGCCCTGACCACGCGTCAGAAGCTGATTACCCAGGACTACAAGGTGAGCTACTCCCTGGCCAAGGCCTGCAAGACAGACCTGAGGAAGTACCGCTGCAGCGTGGACACCAACATGCCCCGCGCCCGCGAGGCCCGCCTCTCCTACCTGCTGCTCTGTCTGGAGTCTGCCGTACACCGAGGTTGGGCTGGCTGTCTCTTCTTCCTAATCTCCATCTGTCTCTCCCCCTGTCAGCCTGTTCTCTCTTATGATTTGTCAATCTAGATTAGTCTTTGGTGGAGTAAAAAACTAATCTGTTGTCACGCTGGTGTTACTTTGAGGGTTTTTCTCTCCACTTAATGAAATGAAATGGCTTTCTAGTGCCCCACTTGCAGTTCCTTTAAGACATTTCCTGACCTGTGTGTGTTCCAGGTCGTACGGTGAGCGGGGAGTGTCAGGGGGAGATGTTGGACTACAGGAGGATGTTGATGGAGGACTTCTCTCTGAGCCCTGAGATCGTGCTGCACTGCCGTGGGGAGATCGAGGCCCACTGCTCCGGCCTCCACCGCAAGGGACGCACCCTGCACTGCCTCATGAGGGTGGGCCGAGGAGACATGGGCGCCATCGACAACCTCTGCCAGAAAGCTGTGAGTTCACAGGGTTCTCCCCAGTAGTGGTGCTGCTGAGTAAGGTGGGCGGGGGAGGTCTGGAAGGGGGCAGTACTCAGTAAAGAAAACAATAAAAAAGGTTTTGGTAAAGAAAAAGACTGTAAAATCACTAGGAATTCATTTAAAATGAGTTTAATTTAGGACATTTGTTCCCAAATATTCCCACAAATAAAAAGAGACGTGATCATGTCTCAATGTAATCAAGGTAGGAAATGATTGTTATTTTCAAATAAAATCTCTTTTTGGGCTTAGTTGGGGTCAATTTGCAGTGTACAAATTCTTGATATTATGTGCTTCTACATCTGCATTGCTTGCTGTTTGGGGTTTTAGACTGGGTTTCTGTATAGCACTTTGTGACATCTGCTGATGTAAAAAGGGCTTTATAAATACATTTGATTGATGTTCCAGCCCCCCAACCATCCGCTCTGACAAAAATCATCCCGCATCTGAATTTAGTTGCCTACCCCTGCCATAAGGCATTAAGATGGAGATTAACGAGCACTATCCATTTGAGCTTTGAAGAGCAGTCCTCCCCCCAACCCTGAGGTCAAATAGAGAAGTGAACCACTGTCAAGTTTCAGTACACGTACAGTTTGCCTAGTCATCTTGCTGTGCAGCCCTCCCATTACCAGACAGTGGTTGTTGAGGTTTAGGTCTCCTCTCTCTCTCCTCTCTCAGCTCCAGATCCTGATCCAGGAGGCTGACCCTGGGGCAGACTACCGTATCGACCGGGCCCTAAACGAGGCCTGTGAGTCTGTCATCCAGACCGCCTGCAAACACATCCGCAACGGAGACCCCATGTGAGTAACCAAATTCTCCCTCTCTCCTGCTTACTTTACACAAAGCTACCAGAACATTTGTATGTCAAATTGCATGCAGTAATTTGTGTATCTGTGGAATGATTAAGCTGTAACATGTGCTTGTGTGTAGGATCCTGTCTTGTCTGATGGAGCACCTGTACACAGAGAAGATGGTGGAGGACTGTGAACACAGGCTGCTGGAGCTGCAGTACTTCATAGCACGGGACTGGAAGTAAGTAGCAACACTACTAGTTTATGGTAATGCTCCACACAAATGGTGACGCTCCACACATTCAAAGCCTTTTAGGAGCCTGATCAGGTTCCATATAAAGGTTTTTAGTATGCCTGATCAGTGTGCCCGGATATGGTTTCCTACACTGCTTTTGCTTGCTCTTTTGGGTCTAGGCCAGGTTACTGTAAAAGCACTTTGTGACAATTGCTGATGTTATAAATGTATTTGATGAATCCTCACACACTCTCCTCTTACTGTCTGCCAGACTGGACCCCATCCTGTATAAGAAGTGCCAGGGCGATGCCTCCCGCCTGTGCCACACCCACGGCTGGAACGAGACCAGCGAGATGATGCCACCCGGTGCCGTCTTCTCCTGTCTGTACCGCCACGCCTACCGCACAGAGGAGCAGGGACGGCGGGTAGGACTGATTTCACCGCACTGTGCCGCACTCACAAAACGTAGCTACCAGTGGCTAATGTAGAGGAACATCAATATAGATGTAGGTTAATGTAAAATTATCACAGAAAGAATATATTGTCTGAAGTGATCTAGGACCTTTTTAGAAATGCTTCTGTCCTCAGTACATTCTGAAAGTGTTGTCCTTTTAAAAGGGGAATGCAGTGGAAGAAACAGGAAGGCGTGTTTTCGTTGTAAGTTCAGTGTTTGTTGGTGATGATCATCACGATTTGATTGGGTTCTGATTCCTGAAGATGATTCTGGTCAAAATGAGGGCAAATTATGGATTTTGCTTGTTGAAGAATGTAAATTCGAATATACACTGCTCAAACAAATAAAGGGAACACTTAAACAACACATCCTAGATCTGAATGAATGAAATAATCTTATTAAATACTTTTTTCTTTACATAGTTGAATGTGGTGACAACAAAATCACACAAAAATTATCAATGGAAATCAAATTGATCAACCCATGGAGGTCTGGATTTGGAGTCACCCTCAAAATTAAAGTGGAAAACCACACTACAGGCTGATCCAACTTTGATGTAATGTCCTTAAAACAAGTCAAAATGAGGCTCAGTAGTGTGTGTGGCCTCCACGTGCCCTGTATGACCTCCCTACAACGCCTGGGCATGCTCCTGATGTGGTGGCGGATGGTCTCCTAAGGGATCTCCTCCCAGACCTGGACTAAAGCATCCGCCAACTCCTGGACAGTCTGTGGTGCAACGTGGCGTTGGTGGATGGAGCGAGACATGATGTCCCAGATGTACTCAATTGGATTCAGGTCTGGGGAACGGGCGGTCCATAGCATCAATGCCTTCCTCTTGCAGGAACTGCTGACACACTCCAGCCACATGAGGTCTAGCATTGTCTTGCATTAGGAGGAACCCAGGGCCAACCACACCAGCATATGGTCTCACAAGGGGTCTGAGGATCTCATCTCGGTACCTAATGGCAGTCAGGCTACCTCTGGCGAGCACATGGAGGGCTGTGCGGCCCCCCAAAGAAATGCCACCCCACACCATGACTGACCCACCGCCAAACCGGTCATGCTGGAGGATGTTGCAGGCAGCAGAACGTTCTCCACGGGGTCTCCAGACTCTGTCACGTGCTCAGTGTGAACCTGCTTTCATCTGTGAATAGCACAGTGCACCAGTGGTGAATTTGCCAATCTTGGTGTTCTCTGGCAAATGCCAAACGTCCTGCACGGTGTTGGGCTGTAAGCACAACCCCCACCTGTGGACGTCGGGCCCTCATACCACCCTCATGGAGTCTGTTTCTGACCGTTTGAGCAGACACATGCACATTTGTGGCCTGCTGGAGGTCATTTTGCAGGGCTCTGGCAGTGCTCCTCCTGCTCCTCCTTGCACAAAGGCGGAGGTAGCAGTCCTGCTGCTGGGTTGTTGCCCTCCTACGGCCTCCTCCACGTCTCCTGATGTACTGGACTGTCTCCTGGTAGCGCCTCCATGCTCTGGACACTACGCTGACAGACACAGCAAACCTTCTTGCCACAGCTCGCATTGATGTGCCATCCTGGATGAGCTGCACTACCTGAGCCACTTGTGTGGGTTGTAGACTCCGTCTCATGCTACCACTAGAGTGAAAGCACCGCCAGCATTCAAAAGGGACCAAAACATCAGCCAGGAAGCATAGGAACTGAGAAGTGGTCTGTGGTCACCACCTGCAAAACCAGTCCTTTATTGGGGGTGTCTTGCTAATTGCCTATAATTTCCACCTGTTGTCTATTCCATTTGCACAACAGCATGTGAAATGTATTGTCAATCAGTGTTGCTTCCTAAGTGGACAGTTTGATTTCACAGAAGTGTGATTGACTTGGAGTTACATTGTGTTGTTTAAGTGTTCCCTTAATTTTTTTGAGCAGTGTATTTTTTATAATAAAGTGATTTTGCTAACGACTTAAAGTATGAGTGCATGCACCTCTACATGTTGAATGTGTCATTGGTATCAGAAGTGGGATTATGTGATGTAACGATCACTATACTCAGGAATGGTCTTCAGTCTTGTCATGAGAATGACTATCAGAATAATTTCTTAAAGGCCCAGTGCAGTCAAAATTCTGTTTTCCTGCAGAAACGAACACTGTGAAAGTGTGAAAAAATGGAATCTGTGTTATTTCCTGATAGTTGCTGGTTAAAAATACAATCTACACAAGACCTTCTCATCAGCCTGTTTGCATGGAGTTTCGGCTTGCCTGGTGTCATCACCAGGCGGTAAATTGGTTAATAGATCAATAACAGAGTTCAAAACCTGTCTGCCAATAACAGCTAGTTTTAAGTTTTCCCCTCCCCACTCAGACCACTCCCAGACAGTCCTAGCAAAATTATTGCTTGAGAAGTAGTTTTTGGCTAAAAAGCTATTTTTGTCAATTTTAATAAATCTATTACAGTAAGTAGGGCACTCACTGTTCTAGAATGCAGTGAAATACGGGTAAATTCAAGAGGGTGCTACTAAATTAGTGTCTAAACCTAGTTATATTTTTTGCCTATGTCAGTATGAATCACATACAATTCATCATTAGATTGTTCTCGACAATATTATAACAATATGCTTTTACAGTGTTGCTTAAATAAGAACGTTTGACCGTTGCTAGTTTAGACCGCGCCTGTCTTGGTTGTATCGTTTCCATATTTCGACGTTGTGAGGTGGTAACATTTGGAGGCGTTTCCGCACTTTGGCCCAATCAAAATCAACTTGATACCCTTGTAATTTTCATCTCTAGATCCATGGCTTTCTATTCCTCTAGCCCCGGTCAATCAACTTTGAGAGGGGCCGTTTCTATGGTGATTTAAAGGGAAAGACTCAGAAATAAAAAAACATTTTTGGGGGAGGATATATATTGAAATTCAGTTTGTTAGCTTTCTAAATGAATGTGTATGCGCACGCTCAATTTTGTTTTGTATTCCGTGGATTTCATTTAGAAAAAGCCCATGTTATCACACACTAACCTGCAGGTACTAGCTAGCTTGTCAGTTGACGCTCGACGTTGGCGCCGTTCTGCCAACAGAGCAGTGTCAGAGTTCTATTGAGCAGTGACCACTTTTTGACCATGGCTGTAATCACATTCTAATCTCTCATCATGCTAAATTCTCTGAGTAAATAGTCTTTACCAGAAATTATTTGATATTGATCATTTATTTTAAAAAACGTCTGCATTGGGCCTTTAATATTTGACTGGAATGGTTGACTGGTGACGTTGACAACAGTGGGATTATTTATTGTGGTCGCCCAATCAATATACTGAAGGTACACTACAAGCAAACAAATTCATTCTGATGGGATGTTCCATTAGTGTTGACGCCTGTCTGTCTTGGGGGCTCCTATCTCCCCTACTTTCTGGTTATCTCTTGTCCTGCATCCTAAACAGGGTTGGCCACAATTCCATTTCAAATCAGTCAATTCCGGAAGTAACCTGAAAGTCCAATTGACTGAATTGAAATGGAATTGACCCCGATCCTGAGTTTTATAATGTTGAGTATTATTCTTTTGATATTCTCTAGCTGTCCCGGGACTGTAAAGTGGAGGTGCAGCGTATCCTCCACCAGAGGGCGCTGGATGTGAAGCTGGACCCGGAGCTGCAGAGGCGCTGTATGACTGACCTGGGGAAGTGGTGCAGTGAGAAGACTGAGTCTGGACAGGTACTGTCACACAAAATTCTGATGACTTGCATATTAAACCATCTCATCCGTTCATTGAATTGTAGCCTGTAACTGCTGAAGTGATGGTTTTGCTTTAGAATGCTGGATGCAGACACTCTGTTACTATAGAATATGGCCAGCCATATTGGGGCTAGATCATTGGGACAGTAATAATTGCACAAGCAGGGTATATTTTTGCTGTAGTGAAGTCTGACATGGTATTTGTTGGTGTTCCAGGAACTGGAGTGTCTACAGGACCATCTAGAGGACCTGGTGTCAGAGTGCAGGGATGTGGTGGGCAACCTGACTGAACTGGCGTCTGAGGTAAGAGAGACGGGAGTACCAGGGACAAACTGGCTGACTGACTGCTCTGTAAGAAGAACTGGCTGTGGTAAACTATGGTTGGTCACATGGTAAAAGGGTGTTCCTATCTCTCTTCCCACCAGGACATTCAGATTGAGACCCTGCTGATGAGAGCCTGTGAGCCAGTTATCCAGTCCCACTGTCACGTGAGTCCTACCTCTACCACAGCCCTGAGTGCTCTCTCAGGGCTTCTCATACCACCAACCCCCATTTAACTCCACTAACAATGACAGGGATATCTCTCCTGTCAAGAAAATGTAAGAATTTCAAATGATCCATTAATTGATTTAACTGATCAGGTTTTTCTGACCACTTTGTCTCTCCCAGGAGGTGGCAGATAACCAGATCGACACAGGGGATCTGATGGAGTGTCTGGTGCAAAACAAACACCAGAAGGAGATGAACGACAAGTGTGCCGTGGGCGTCACACACTTCCAACTGGTGAGTCTGTTCCAGATAATTCCAAATAAACTCCCAACACTGGTGTCCATCTGAAATTATTGGATAGATGGAAGTGAGAAACATACAATATGCCACTAAAGAGACGTTTTCATCCAAAGCAATTTACAGTGCAGTGAGTTCATCCAGTTTGATAGTGTGTGTGATCCCTCCCTGTGAGAATTGAACCCATGACCTTGACAGTTGCCTCACTCCCATTTCTCTGCTCTTCCCTTCTCCTTCCGCTGCTCTTCCCTTCTCCTTCCGCTGCTCTTCCTTTTCAGGTCCAGATTAAGGACTTCCGTTTCTCCTACAAGTTTAAGATGGCCTGCAAAGAGGACGTGCTCAAACTCTGCCCCAACATCAAGAAGAAGTGAGTCATCTGAGCGAGAACCTGGGCATAGTTGACCACGTTACAGTCAAACTTTAAACGAACCCAAACGTTGTCTCTCATTCTCTCTAGGGTGGACGTAGTGCTCTGTCTGAGCACCACAGTGAGGAACGACACTCTGCAGGACGTCAAGGAGCAACGTGTGTCTGTCAAGTGTCGTAAGCAGCTGAGGGTGGAGGAGCTGGAGATGTCTGAGGATGTCCGTCTGGAGCCTGAGCTCTACGACTCTTGTAAGCAGGACATCGGGAGGCTGTGCCAGAACGTGGCCTTCGGGAATGCCCAGGTAAGGCCCACTGACAACTGTTTGTGTGCCTTGACAAAGCATTTAGTAAACATAATATTTCTACATGATAACTATTGATGAGGGTGATGTTGACGATGATAGCAACTATTGATGATTGTGACGTCTGTCTGTAATAGGTGATAGAGTGTCTGAAGGAGAACAAGAGGCAGCTGACCCAGCGCTGTCACCACAGGGTGTTCAAGCTGCAGGAGGTAGAGATGATGGACCCAGAGCTGGACTTCCAACTCATGAGGGTCTGCAAGCAGATGATCCGGGTATGTACTTTTCACTGAGTCATTTTAGCACTGAATGCATAACACAAGGATCCTAGTCCAAAGCAAGCATTGCAAGGCATGTAAGGAAGTCTTCAACAATTTAGCTGTGCTCAAAGGTGCCTCAGTCAAACCATGATTGCTGATTACATTGTCTGTATGAAGTTATATTTCAGAGTAATTACCATTTTCTGAAGGAGAGGTCCGTGGCTGTTAGTAAGACTGTCCCAGACATGACTGTGGCTTGTCGTCTATGTTAGTCTCTCCCAGTGTGAATATAGTCTGCATAGTCTGTGGCTCTGATGCAATACATTGAATCCCTAATGAAGAGCAATGTTTCGCCAGCTACACTACCTTCATCTGGGTTTCGTCTGAGTGTCCTAGTGTTGTCTCTCTCTACCAGCGGTTCTGTACTGAGGCTGATGCCAAGAACATGCTGCAGTGCCTGAAGCAGAACAAGAACAGCGAGCTGATGGACCCCAAGTGTAAACAGATGATCACCAAGAGACAGATCACACAGAATACAGGTGGATACTGAATGCACACACACACACACACTATAGCGCTCAATATGAGCAGAGATTATGGCTTCCATCATACATATAGTACACAACACCTTTGTAGCATTACCCTAACCCTGTGGTTCTCCCCACTCGAACCCTGTGGTTCTCCCCACTCGAACCCTGTGGTTCTCCCCACTCGAACCCTGTGGTTCTCCCCACTCGAACCCTGTGGTTCTCCCCACTCGAACCCTGTGGTTCTCCCCACTCAAACCCTGTGGTTCTCACCCTGTCTCCTCCCCTGTGTTCTGTCCAGACTACAGGTTGAACCCAGTGCTGAAGAAGTCTTGTAAGGCTGACATCCCTAAGTTCTGCCAGAGCATCCTGAACAAGGCTACAGGAGACAGTGAGCTGGAGGGACAGGTCGTCTCCTGCCTCAAACTCAAATATGCAGACCAGGTCAGAATATACAGCTTTATCTTCTTATACTGAACAAAAATATAAACGCAACATGCAACAATTTCATCGATTCTTTCTGAGTTACAGTTCATATAAGGAAATCAGTCAACTATAATAAATTAATTAGGCCCTATCTATGGATTTCACATGACTGGGCAGGGGCATAGCCATGGTTGGGCCTGGGAGGGCATAGACCCACCCAATTAGGAGCAAGGCCCACCCGCTGGGGAGCCAAGCCCAGCCAATCTGAATGAGTTTTTCCCCACAAAAGGGCTTTATTACAGACAGTAATACTCAGTTTCATCGGCTGACTGGGTGGCTGGTCTCAGACAATCCCGCAGGTGAAGAAGCCAGATGTGGAGGTCCTGGGCTGGTGTGGTTACATGTGGTCTGCGGTTGTGAGGCCGGTTGGATGTACTGCCTAATTCTCTCAAACGACATTGGAGGCGGCTTATGGTAGAGAAATGAACATTCAATTGTCTGGCAACAGCTCTGGTGGACATTCCTGCTGTCAGCATGCCAATTGCACGCTCCCTCAACTTGAGACATCTGTGGCATTGGTTTGTGTGCAAAACTGCACATTTTAGAGTGGCCTTTTATTGTCCCCAGCGTCAAGGTGCACCTGTGTAATGATGGATGGATAGATTATCTTGGCAAAGGGGAAATGCTCACTAACAGGGATGTAAACCAATTTGTGCACAACATTTAAGAGAAATAAGCTTTTGGTGGGTATTGAACACTTCTGGGATCTTTTATTTCAGCTCATGAAACCAACACTTATATTTTTGTTCAGTATAGTTTACCATGTTTGAGTGATTCGTAGGTAGGCTACACATACTGCTATGTCTAGTTGATTTGTCTCATTCATAGTGTGTGTGTGTGTACTTACACCATTCTCTTACACGTGTGTGTGTGTGTCCACAGCGTCTGTCTCCAGACTGTGAGGACCAGATCAGAGTGATCCTACAGGAGTCAGCTCTGGACTACAGACTGGACCCCCAGCTGCAGATTCACTGCACTGACGAGGTGAGTGGTTCTAAACAGGGGTTTATTCATTAAGTCTTGCAATGGAAACCGTTTGTTTTAAGAACCAAACGGAACGAAATGGGGAGGGAACTACCTGAATTTGCCAAATAGAAACTCTCGGTTTCGTTGCAAATTGTTTTTTATTTGGAGTAAACAGTTGAAAACTGTTGCTATAGAATCGTCACAATGAATACACCCCAGGACTATTACAAACACAAATGCTTTGTAACACAGTTAAGAAATTGTGGTTATACATTCCCCTTCTGTGTGTCAGATCTCTCGGCTGTGTCCAGAGGAGGCTGCAGCCCAGGAGCAGACCGGTCAAGTAGAGGAGTGTCTTAAAGTCAACCTGCTGAAGATCAAAGTGGAGGGCTGCAAGAAGGTGGGTGGTTCTGTTCCCCCTCCTCTTGGTAGACATAAACTGACAGTGTTCAGCCATCTTAAGAGTCAAGAGTCTGAGAAACTCCCTCTTTTTCTCTCCACTTCTTTCCCCCTCTCTTTCTTCTCTCTGCAGGAGGTGTTGAACATTCTGAAGGAGAGTAAGGCAGACATCTTTGTGGACCCTGTCCTCCACACGGCCTGCGCTCTGGACATCAAACACCACTGTGCTGCCATCCCGCCAGGACGAGGACGCCGTGAGTAGTACACACACCTCTGTCCTTTGTACAGACATCCCTGTCCCTGTTAGGCCTTTTCATCTGTGTTGAATGGCCTTAACTTTGTGCTTGTATTCCTTCTCAGAGATGTCCTGTCTGATGGAGGCTCTGCAGGACAAGAGGGTGCGTCTGCAGCCAGAGTGTAAGAAGAGACTGCAGGACCGCATCGACATGTGGAGCTACGCTGCCAAGGTGAACAAGACATTTGCACAAACACACCAACAAGATGTCACTAGCTTGTCTTAACACTCACACCCGAGTCCTTTCAAAAACAAGTGTAAACCTACCAAACATTATCACCATACCTTTTAATGCACTTACATTTTCTGTCATGAATTGTGAGCTATCAGTGGATGCTACCCTCTTATGGCCTAGCATTGAACTCACACTATCACATTGAACAATCTCTAATTGTTCATACTTTGACACCCACACCTGCTCCCCTCTGTCCCTCCCAGGTGGCCCCGGCCGAAGGCTTCTCAGACCTGGCCATGCAGGTGATGACTTCCCCATCCAAGACCTACATCCTGGCTATGATTGGCCTGAGCGTGTGCGTTCTCTTCCTGTTCGGCCTGCTGTGTGGCCGCATCACCAAGCGAGTAATGCAGGAGCACAAGGACAGGTAGAGAGAGGGGCCTCAGAGGGCCACAGCAGCAGAACCAGGACAGGGCCCTCACTCAACATAGCCCAGCTGCCCTCACCTTAGCCTGGCTCCATGTACAAACCATCTCCTCCTACTTTCCATCCTCCTGTTTTAGCCCCCCAGCCGCCTTGTCAGTCCCTGAGACTGGGTTCTAGGGTGGAGCAAGCCATTCGAGCTTCTCTGTCATCATTGCTATGCTGTTGCAGGGCCACGTAGGGTCCTGGCCTGTATCCCCTATAATAGTTGGTTTCCCAGTTTCACTGGTGTGAGAGCGGACATGCCCTGACTGTGAGACCGACTCATAACCCCTCCACCATCTCCACTCCAGTGTCTGACTGATGGAAGTCTTCATTCACGTTATGTTCTAAAGTTTTACAGGAGACTTCTAGAAGGACTCTGCCGCCACCTGTTTGTCCTCCATCGCTCCACTGCTAACCAGCTAACACTAACAGATCTGTACCGTCGGGCAGCCCGGAAAGGCGAGCAGGATGGGGCATAAGCAGAAATTCTGGATTCTGCTTTTGGTTTCTCTTGCAGTGGTTTTTTCTTTCTCATTTAGAGGTAATATTTCTTTCCAGATGTTTTCTGTGGGGCAGAAGGGGAGGTGGGTTCACAGTAAACAGTAAGAGTTATGTGAGAGAGCAAGAACATCTCCATACTTATGGCCTGCCTGAGAGGCTTTCAATGATTTCAGTACTGATAAATTGCTATTAGTGTGTGTTTGTGTGTGAGAATGAAAGTGTGTGTGAAAGGGGAATATTAACGCTTTTTTTCTATGATTTATATTTTTGTTATTCTCCTGAGAGGGTGGTGGGGGTGGTTGACTGACTTCAGGTTGCCGATGTTTTATTAGATTCACTGATTTGCCATGGGACTGCCAGGTGTGAACTGTCCTCCACTGACTGAGCCACATAGGAGAGGAGTCCAACAGCCTACAGTATATTAGATCAGTCTTACACGTAATAACTGATGATAAACAATATTGATTCCTCTATTTGGGATTATACTGACAGACCTGGCAGTGTTTCATAGATGGCGCCAGTGCCAAGGATGCCTGCTTATTTAGTGCAATCTGAAACGGTACTCCAGTCACTCCATGCTTGGCCTGTGTTAGGGTTAGCATGATGCTAACCAAATGGGTGGTATGGTAGAGAAACGGTTAGCATTGACCAGGTGGCTGGACAACCAGGCGAGTAGTCACACAAATTTCTCTCAAGGTACTCAGTTAACAATGGACTTTTCGAAGTTGGAGCTGGGTCTAGGTGGTCTGAGTGGACACAACACTGGTGACAGACGGTGCAGAAAGATACGTCTAATTTTGATTCACTGGCTTCTAACATTTCCAAAGCTTCCTGTCTAGTTTTCAAGTAGTGAACCTGCAATGTAGCAGGTTTAAGCTAAGGGTATTGGTAGCGGTGTTACATTGGTATTGAAGAGAGGTTGGTGGTTGAAGGGGTCAAGAACAATGAAAAAGGAAAAAAAGACTAATGCTTATAGAGATGTGAAGTTTTTGTTTGAAATTATACTGGAACCATTGCACATTTTTATGTTCTTTTTATATCTATATATATATATTGTTTGGTCATAGCCTTATTTATTTGTTTACTAATGGTCAAAGTTTGAGTTCTTTTTTGATTTGAATATTCTCTTGTTGCCTTTTCTTCATAGAGCCCCACAGTGGAGGTGTCAAAATACCCATTAAACCTAGTGGTCAAACAGGGAAATGGTTCCTATCGTTTTTCCACCATTCATTTTTCCCATAGGGGATTTGAGAAACACTTAAAATAAGGGCTGTGTTTCATGTAGACTTACCCTGGCGTGTTAGTTTGATAACCATGTAAATCTCAATCCGACAAGGTGACTTTTATCAATATATTCGGCTCTATTTACTCTGATTCGAAAATGCTAATTAGCATCAAAGTAGACGTCATGCAAAACTACAAATCCCTTTTGACACCTTTGCTAACAGGTATTAGGTCAATTTAAAACTTGCACAAGACAATTCACAGAATTATCCATTTAAAGACATGTAGCCAATTTGTTCATTACTACATTTAGCTAACATTGGTAGTTCTGCATGATTTCTACTTTTATGCTAATTACCATTTTCTAATCAGAGTAAATGGAGCCAACTATATTGATAAAAGTCACCTTGTTGGAGAGAGATTTACATAGTTATCAAAACGTCACGCCAGGGTAAGCCTACATGAAACACAGCCCTTATTTTAAGTGTTTCTAATATCCACTGGTGGAAAAATTATTGGAACCATTTCCCTGTCTGACCACTAGGTTTTATGGGTATTATGAGACATACTGTGGTACTCTATTGCCTCTAGCCAAAGGGTTTCACCATCAAGTGAAGCCTGGGAGCAGAGGTTGGTGGTGGGAAGGAGGAGGAGTTTGGGGGGAGGGGCTTGGTGATGTCACTCCAGGAGCTTCTTGGCTCAGTGTGGGAATGAAGAATTCTGTCTGTTGCCATTTTAGTTACTGAACTCAAAAGTACTTCTTCAGATGGGTCCTAAACTTTAACCAATCCAGTCAGAGGAAAGCCCTCCTCTCAACGAGGAGAAGCGTTCAAAGGCATTTTCATGATTCAACAATCGTTTTCTCAAAACAAACTGTCATGCCATGTAAATGGGATTTTAGCAGTTTTTCATTGCCTTGCTCTTGAATTGGTGTGAGCGCTTCCTTCCATGCTTGTAATAACTGTTGATAATTTGACTTGTAAAATGGGCTCTGCTGTAACCATCCAAAAGGTAGATTTATCAATGTGTGCCTACTCTGACAATCCCAGATAGGGATCCCCCATGTATGTACATAAAATATATACACACACACCACAGGCCCCTGGTCCACTCCTAACACCCCTTCAAACTGAGCAGAGGTGTGTGTGTATACGTGCACCCCTCAAAGCTGTCATACCCAAACTTGGGAGAGGAGAACCCTCTAACAGACGCCTAGAAGAGATCTCATGGCTATTTCTTTTTTTTTTTACCACCACTCCTCTCTTGTGCTATCCAGACTGCATTAAATACTGTTGCTTACTGTTATTTCTGTCTGTCAAAAGCTTTCAAGTCAAAATGAAATTATAACTTTAACAATGACTATAACATATGATTAAGATTATGATGAAAAATGTTTTGTAATATGTTGTGTATACATTTAAGGAGGTCCTTTTGCTTTAATCTCTGATTATGCCATGTACTTGAGATGTAACAGAATAACGCATTTCCCTGGTTTAGATTTTTGTTCTGTACAGATGAAGTTGGACAATTTGTTAATAATAAAGACTGCAGGTTTTTATATTGTTGTCCACTGTGATTAGAATGACCAGTACCAGCAAAATGTCCATTGAGAGAGGTGTTGGGACACTGGGAAGATGGAGGTTGTAGTGCCAGGCAGAGCCTGAAAAACCCCTTGAAAGCGTTCTGCTTACCTACACTAACTCCCCTTCCCCCTCAGTTTAGGGTCCAAGCCAGGAGGGTCTCATGTTCATTCCATGTCTCTGCGCACAATTCATCTAGTCTAGGGACACAAGTAGCCAGAATTGCCATACATTTGCAGATTCCTGTTGATTTTAGTACATTCTGAAGCACACCCAGTGATCAGTCAACTAATTGAGAATGCCATAGGATTTATTTTCTCCAGTTCCACTATCTGCATGACTACTAGCCTACTCTGTGTTCCTGGCTGTACTTGGATTCACATTGCCATACCTCTAAATTCACCTCGTTGCCACGCCTTTTAGGGAAGCCTGGTTGGCGACGATGCTAGGCTGTGTTAGACTGCCATTCACGGTAGTTGAACTTACATTCAGGATGAGTACTCATAAGGTGCCAGAGGTCCGCTCAGGTCACGAGTAGTGAATTACCTGTCTGTTTGTAGGGAACACACTGCCTTGCTTTGTGTTGTTTGCATGGGGTTTAACCCTTCATGTGCTCGACCGGCCCCAGTAGGTGTTAGATTTTTACATTTTCATTTTATTAATTTAGCAGGCGCTCTTATCCAGAGTGACTTACAGGTGCAATTAGGGTTAAGTGCCTTGCTCAAGGGCACATCGACTTATTTATTTGCTCTGCTCTGGCCCAACACTATTAACCTCTAGTTCAGCGTTTCCCAAACTTGGTCCTCAGGACCCAAAGGGGTGCACATTTTGGTTTTTGCCCTAACACTACACAGCTGATTCAAATTATCAAAGCTTGAATCAGCTGTGTAGTGCTAGGGCAAAAACCAAAACGTGCACCCCTTTGAGGACCGAGTTTGGCAAACCTTGCGCTAGTTTTTCTACAAAGATGGGTCTTATGCATCTGGCTGAGAATACACAGACATACATGATGTCCTATTCGCCAGGTAGATTAGCCTCATGACCATCTGAAGTATTGACCTGTGACATTCTGGATGTGTGTTTTCTGGATTGTGTGTGCGCGTGTGCATCCGGTCATGGTCAGATGGATGGATAGATGAGTGTGGAGGCCAGAGACTGGGATATATCCTGTGTTTGTTTGTCTGCCTTCCAGTGCATACATGGGCAGATGGATAGGAAGTGTACTGTCCCTGTAAGGACCAGGTGCACTGGATAGTAGACAACATTTAGAAAACAATTTACTTTTTGATAATATTGTCATTTGAATGTTCTTTACATAATGTCTGGAGACCGTTGCTGGACGTTGTGATTTAATCGAACACTCCGCAATCAGCTGGTCAAGACACAGCTCCAATAGCCTGCTGAGTGGGACGAGTGCCTCAGCCAAATCGCCCTGGCCAACGCTATTGTTTTTACATGCACAGTGAAGCTTTACAGGCTCTATTAGTTAAATGGATAGATTTTTATTCTATGAATGTATTACTACCACTTCAGAGAATATCCAATAAAGCAAACATTTAGAAATTGCAAAAAAAAGTTACAGAACATATACATTTGTTTGAGGAGGACCTCAAATCACAAATGCCTTACAAAAAAACAAACACATACAAAACAACAAATCTAGACAAATACCACTTAAATATGGAAATTCTCAATACTAATGATCTCTCTTATATAGTATGCATTACAGCTGAGGTGGTGCTCTGCCTGTGATTCTAAAGTTACAAATTCCATAGCCCAAAGAAACATTGTATTAAACACACAACCTCTGAGGTTCATTCATAAGAATACCTGTACAATTATCCAAGGTGATAACAAGAGAGCAGCCTAAAGCCTAATAAAAAAAGTATTATATTATATTATGATCCCTGTATTGACAGACCAGGGAGAAAAAAATACATTAACAGTTTGGCTGGTTCAGGACTTCCTGTAGAACACACCATAGCCATCTACACAGAGGCCTCATCATCGCCATTACCCACAATGCTCTTGCAGTAGTTCAAATCTCTCTCTCCACCACACCAGACAGTGCTCTCTCCTTTTCTCTCCTACTGTCCCCCTCATTCTCCCTTCTCACTCTCCATCACTCTAGAATAGCTCATCTCCACCTCTGCCTCCAGAGTAGCAGGGCCCTG